CGTTTTGGGCCATCGTGGGCGTCTTGGAGCGGTTCGATTTGGCTTTTATGTTGTGTAATTATTTTTATTTTTGTATTTAATTTTTTTTTTATTTTGTCAATTTTCTTTTATTTTTTTTTGTCTTTTATTTATTTTTGCGTTTTTTTCTTTTTACGGAGTCCTTCGCTGGGCCTGGAATGTGTGTGGAGGCCTCTTGGGGGCTTCGTGGCCCGTCTTGAAGCCCTCTTGGGCCAGGAAAAGCCCCGTGGAGCGCTCGTCCCGGACCCCCCCCCCCCCCTCCAAATCGACCGGACCGGCGGGCTCCCGGGGGAGGGGTTTGGGGAGGGGGAAGCATCTCACACGCCGATGATCCCCAAGGGGTCGGCGGATACGGAGGTTATGGGGGGAGGATGGGTACAGCTTTCGCTTTGCGATTGGTGCATTATCGGACTTGCAATCCGAGTAGAGATACACATATGTTAGCCAGCGTGGACCCCAAACAGTGTGTTCGAGCATACTACGTAGTGCAATCTACGTGGCGCAATTCACTTGCCGAACTTGAAGATGTCAACTCAACTGCTCGCGCAATCATCCCACGCGCTCACCCGCAATTTGATTTGCAAAACGCATGCGGGAGCGATTGCGATGAATGCTGGGTGTTGGCTGGTGCATCTCTGCGGCGGCGCTAGTCCGCGCATGCTCGCGCGCGCAGCGGCCAGCAAGTTTGGCGCGACTGACGCGAACGCGGTGGCGCTGGCCGTTCGGCACATCCCAACGGGCACTTCAGTGCGAGTCGGCGACTTGGGCGGGCGCGGTATCATGGCAACGTTGGCAACGGTAGACACGATGATGATGGTAGCAATGCTGGCGACGATGCTGACAGCGTGCGGGGAGTGACGTGGGATGCTGATCACGCCGACGACGATGACGTGGTTTGTGTGGTGTGTGGTTCCGGGGTTCGTGCGTTGCGCGGCAGACGCGTGAGAGTGGTCGTGGTTATTGTGCCCGGAACGTGCCATGCCCGCACGCGCGCAGGGGTTCGAACTTTGTGTGCCGCGTGCCCGTTTGATTACACCATGGCTTGTTGAAACGCTGTTTCGTTCGCAATGCGCGCGTTTTTCTTGACATCCGTTTTGCGAGCGTTATATATATATATTCAATATATATGTGTTTTGGACAGTGCGCTGTGAGACCTTCCGCACTGTAAGTTGTTGTTGTGTGTGCATCCTTATTATTCAGTTGTTTTATTATTATTATTGATTTCCCATTCCCGTATTCGTATGTTTATTATGTATAGTGTGTATGCATGCCCCTATTATACGCGGTATATACATGTATATATATATATGTATATATGTAAAAAAGGCATGCGCGAGACGACGCGCGCGTGTGCGTTTCGTCCCAACTGTTGCGCAGCGCGCTCTTCGACGGCACGCGCCAGGAGCGTTCGCACTTTTCGACACGTGTGCGCGCGGCCAGTTTGGCCGCTTTGGGACATGTTGAAATGATGCGCGCTCTTCCCCTCCTTCCTCTTCCTCCTCCTTTTTCTTTTGTTGTTTGCTGCTGTTGTTGTTGTTGTTGTTGTTGTTGTTGTTGTTGTTGTTGTTGTTGTTGAACTCTCATTCTTGAAGAATAATTATTGTTGATCCCCCCCCACCGGTGCACATTGATTTTTTTCGATTGAAGTGCCACCCCCGGGGCTCGCACCTTGTTTTTTCTCAAGAAAGTCTTCCTGCTCAAACTGTGCCCCTGCCCCCCGGGCTACAACAACAACGGCTCCCGCTTGAGACTTCTTCGATTTTTACTCAGGACCCCCGCTCCCGCCTGAGACTTCCGCGCAATTTACTCAGGAAAGGCGCTCCCGTCTGAGATTTCCTCGCAATGTAATCAAGACCCCCGCTCCCGCCTGAGACTTCCGTGCAATTTACGTGGGAACGGCGCTCCCGCCTGAGACTTCTTCGAATTTTACTCAGGACCCCCGCTCCTGCCTGACATTTCCGCGCAATTGACTCAGGAACGGCGCTCCCGCCTGAGACTTCCTCGCAATTTAGTGAGGACCCCCGCTCCCGCCTGAGACTTCCGTGCAATTTGCTCAGGAACGGCGCTCCCGCTTGAGACTTCCTCGCAACTTAGTCAGGGCCCCCGCTTCCGCCTGAGATTTCCTCACAATGTACTCAGGACTGCGCTCTCGCGTGCGACGTCCTCACAAATTATTCTGGAATTGCGTTTCGGCGCTCAGGAACCACGCACGCGCCAAGGACGCCTTCACAACGTGGTATCTTCCCTCTTCCTTCGTCCTTCCCCCTCCCCTTCCTCCCACTCTCCCTCGTTCTTCCCCTCCTCCTCTTGCAGGGCCCGCGCCAATTCCAATGGCGGGCAGAGAGATGTACGCCCCCGAAGGATTGTCCGCCCGTTCCGGTTTGCCCGTACGTCTAAGCCCGCCGGCCCCAGCAAAGAGAAATAATCCCCCTGAAAGGGGTGTGATCGAAAACGAAGAGGGCGGGTATCGAGGGTGTAGGGTATACGTGTTGAATGACTCGCGGGCAAGTAACAACGTACAGCCTTAAAATGTTTGTTGTTGTTGTTGTTGTTGTTGTTGTTGTATTTGTTTGTTTGTTTGTTGCTGTTTTTTGTTTAAAAAACAATCCGCGTTGCGAGATTTTGTTTTGTTAAGCGATGTGTTTTGGTGCTCGATTTTGAAATCCTTCAGAAACCAAGAGTTTTGCAGCATGCGCGCGCGACGACGCGCGCGTGCGCACCTCGTTCCGCTGTTTCGCAACAGGATTCTCTACAACTTTTGATTTTTATAATCGGGTGCGCGTATTTTTTTTGCAGAGGATGGCGGGGGGGGGGTCGATACCGGCTGGCCTGGGATGGGATGAGCTCACACGGAAAATTAACGAAGGTTCACGACCATATATGAATTTTCAATCGAAACGCGTAATGAATAACCCCGGGGGGGTGATGGGTGTAGAAAATACTTGTTTGCAAGAGAAGAGAATGATTTTGTCAGCCCCGCTGATTGCGTAATCATCCCAGAAGCCCACCCGCAAGTTGCCTCGCAAAACCCATGTGGGGGCGATTGCAATGACCGCTTGGCGTTGGCTGGTGCATCGTTGCGGCCGCGCTTGCGCGCGCAGGCTCGCGCACAGAGCGGCTAGTTAGTCTGGAGCGACGAACGCGGCCGCGGTGGCGCTGACCGTTGGGGATGTCCCAGCACATGTCGCAGGCTGCGCTGAAGCGCGGGCATTTCAGTGCGAGCCGGTGATTCGGGCGGGCGTTGTAGCATGGCGACGTCGACAACCTACAGGCACGATGGTGATAGCAGCGATGCTGGTGACGATGGCGACCATAACGACGGCAAGGGCAATGAGGGCGCCGATGATGATCGATGCAGATCGCGCCGGTGACGATGATGGCGTCTTCGTCTTCGCGTCGGTGATGAAGGTTTTGGCTGATTTCGACATGCGCCCGCGGCAGACGCGCGCGAACGGCCTGCATGGAATTGTCTGACACGAGTCGTGCACCCCCCCAGCAAGCGCGGAAGGGCGTCCGGATGATTGCGACACGCGCGCGCAAGAGGCCAGGTTGGTCGCATGTGGTGAACAGGTTGGAAAACAAATCTTCCCCAAAACATTCGGAAAAAAACCGCGGTAGCATTTTTACTTAAAACTCATGTTGGTCGCGAATATGTATGTGCTCATCTGTTTTCGTTGGATTTGTGAAGCGTGCCCACATCAGGGCTCTTTTGCGAGTTCCATGGGTATGTGATGCATGTTGGGGTGTTGCTGAGTCGCTGCCAGTTACCAGGGGCACTCCTGCGTGGTTCAGCTTGAGGATCGTCAAATTCGGGTTTGGGAAAAGTTATCAAGAAATGCGTTTGATCCAGAAGGTGTATGGGTAAACCTGGTCCCAGAGGGGAATATTGGAGGTTTGAGGAAACGCTCTAAGTCACTCGCGCCCAGAATTTCTTGTGGGATGTTTGTCTGGTGGTCATATTGGCTTCCCGTCGTGGCCGGTTCCTCCTATTGTTTTTTTTTTTTGGTTTTGGGGGGCCTTTCTTGGGCCTCGGGGTCCAGCTCAAAGGCGAGGGCGGTCCATGAACCGCGCGATGGGCCCGAGCTGTCTTCGCTGGCCCAGTGCGGGCATCTGGGCGTGCATACGGCGGTGTGTGTAGTGGATTGAGGCTGCTCCCGGCTGGCAAACGGAAGACCTTACAGGGTCCACTGAGCACGGAGTGCGAAAGATGATTGGAGCGTTGAATCTTACTTGGGCCGTCTTTGGGGGCCAGCTGCGCTGCCCCTGAGGTGTTCCGAATTGAGGTTCCTGTCTGGTCATTTTGCAAAGCGAACTGAGCGCCTCCGGTGATCCATGGGGCACGACATGTGTGAAGAGCGTGCCCGATTGAGGCTCTTTCCTTTGGTTGTCCATTGGGCACGAAGCGCGTGAGGTTTGTGCTCAATTGAGGCTTTCGTGGGGTCCATGAAGCACGAAATGCGTGAGATACGTTCCAAACCGAGGCTCCCCAGAGCCGTCCTGAGAGGCTAGGGGGCCATGGGGCACGAAGTGCGTGAGGGGTGTGCTCAATTGGGGCCTTCTTGGCCCTCGGAACGCAGGTCCATAGTTTCTCTACGTGCCCCAAGAGTTTCATGAGTTCCTCGGGGTCCTGGCGTTGTCTTGCGGCCATGTTGAAATCACTTGGGCCTCTTTTGCTGCTTGGGGTGGGGGGCTATTTCTTGGCGGCATCTTGGAGCCTCTTGGGCTCTTTTGGACAACTACTGGGGCCTCAAAGGGGCTGGTACATCTCGCCAGAGACCGCCTTGGGCCATCCTGGCGGCCATGGTGACGTGATCGAGCCGTCCCGGAAGCCATATCGTACATTGTGGATGCGTTGGAGAAGGTTTGGGTGGCGTTTGAGCGTCTGGCCAGGGAGGGGGACCCAGCGCCTATCCAAGAATTCCGCGCGGACCTTCGAAAGTGTCCTCTTTTGCAGTTTTATGCTCCCCTATGTCAGCAGCCAGGTAGTGCGGACCATGGACCAGCTCAAGAAGGAGGGCAAGATCCGCGGTTGGGGCTGCTGCAACGAAAGTCCATACGGGGCCACGCGACTCGTGGCCACAGCGAAGGCCGCGGCCTGGCGCTATTTTATTGTGTCGCGCGCATGTTGTGCAAATTTCGTGAGAAGGACGACCCATGACGGCACAGCGTCCGGAGCGTCCGGCGCAAATATATGCACACTAGTTCCAGTATAAAGCGCTGTGTTTGTGTTGGATGCGAGGCGAATCTGATCTTGTGGCTTCTACAAGCGCACACATAAACCACCGGTACGTTGGGGCGTTGCACTTGCGAGATGCCACAGGGGGCTTGGCAAACGCTGCTCAGGACGGTTCAGTACACTCGCACGCGGTGGGTCATAAATGTAAGATTAAGGACGACGTCATGTTGTTTGTTGTTTGTCTCTAGGTTACTTGATTATGGTACCGTCCGAACGCTGATGTTAGAGCTCCCCGTGTCTGTTACTTGGCCGACGTTGGTGATCCCATCGCTCGCTGAAAAGGCTGGCAAGCCGATGCATGCCCTGGCGTATTCGTACGTCTGCGTCCTCATGTGTTTCCAACCCTCCTTGGTTGGGTATTCGTTTTGAATAGAGCACTGTGGTCGCGTCCCGCCTCCCGTCTCCCGCCTCCCGTCTCCCGCTTTCCTCTTGTCTCCTCTTGTCTTGTGCATACCTCGTGTGTGTGTGTGTGTGTGTGCATCCTGGCTGCGGTACCTCTTGTGCGTGCATCTTGCCAAGGGGCTGCGATATGTGACACTGTCGCCATTTTCGAGGGCTGCTGGTGGATCCTGCGGAGTGAGGCACCGCGGGGACCTGAGAGAGACCTCGCCGTCCCTGGGGGGCTGCGATCTGCGACAATGTCGCAACTTTCGAGGGCTGCTGGTGGGTCCTGCGGAGTGAGGCGCCGCGGGGACCTGAGCGGAACCTCGCCGTCCCTGGGGGGCTGCGATCTGCGACGTTGTCGCCACTTTCGAGGGCTGCTGGTGGGTCCAGCGGAGTGAGGCACCGCGGGGACCTGAGCGTGACCTCGCCGTCCCTGGGTGGGCTGCGATCTCCGACAATGTCGCCACTTTCGAGGGCTGCTGGTGGGTCCTGCGGAGTGAGGCACCGCGGGGACCTGAGCGGGACCTCGCCGTTCCTGGGGGGGCTGCGGTCTGCGACAATGTCGCAACTTTCGAGGGCTGCTGTTGGGTCCAGCGGAGTGAGGCACCGCGGGGACCTGAGCGGGACCTCGCCGTCCCTGGGGGGCTGCGATCTGCGACGTTGTCGCCACTTTCGAGGGCTGCTGGTGGGTTCAGCGGAGTGAGGCACCGCGGGGACCTGAGCGGGACCTCGCCGTCCCTGGGGGGCTGCGATCTGCGACATTGTCGCCACTTTCGTAGGCTGCTGGTGGGTTCTGCGGAGTGAGGCGCCGCTGGGACCTGAGCGGGACCTCGCCGTTCTTGGGGGGGCTGCGATTTTCGACGTTGTCGCCTTTTTCGAGGGCTGCTGGTGGGTCCTGCGGAGTGAGGCGCCGCGGGGACCTGAGCGGGACCTCGCTGTCCCTGTGGCGGGGGCTGCGATCTGCGACAGTGTCGCCACTTTCGAGGGCTGCTGGTGGGTCCTGCGGAGTGAGGCACCGCGGGGACCTGAGCGGAACCTCGCCGTCCCTGGGGGGGCTGCGGTCTGCGACATTGTCGCCATTTTCGAGGGCTGCTGTTGTGTCCAGCGGAGTGAGGCACCGCGGGGACTTGCGCGAGACCTCGCCGTCCCTGGCGGGGCTGCGATCTGCGACATTGTCGCCACTTTCGATGGCTGCTGGTGGGTCCTGCGGAGTGAGGCGCCGCGGGGGCCTGAGCGGGACCTCGCCGTTCTTGGGGGGGCTGCGATCTGCGACGTTGTCGCCATTTTCGAGGGCTACTGGTGGGTCCAGCGGAGTGAGGCACCGCGGGGACCTGAGCGGGACCTCGCCGTCCCTGGGGGGGCTGCGATCTGCGACGTTGTCGCCACTTTCGAAGGCTGCTGGTGGGTCCTGCGGAGTGAGGCACCGCGGGGACCTGAGCGAGACCTCGCCGTTCCTGGGGGGCTGCGATCTGCGACACTGTCGCCACTTTCGAGGTCTGCTGGTGGGTCCTGCGGAGTGAGGCACCGCGCGGACCTGAGCGGGACCTCGCCGTCCCTGGGGGGCGCGATCTGCGAAACTGTCGCCACTTTCGAGGGCTGCTGGTGGGTCCAGCGGAGTGAGGCACCGCGGGGACCTGAGCGGGACCTCGCCGTCCCTGGGGGGCTGCGATCTGCGACATTGTCGCCACTTTCGAGGGCTGCTGGTGGGTCCTGCGGAGTGAGGCACCGCGGGGACCTGAGCGGGGACCCTCGCCGTTCTTGGGGGGGCTGCGATCTGCGACGTTGTCGCCACCCACTTTCCAGGGCTGCTGCTGGGTCCAGCGGAGTGAGGCACAGCGGGGACTTGAGCGAGACCTCGCCGTCCCTGGGGGGGCTGCGATCTGCGACAGAGTCGCCACTTTCGAGGGCTGCTGGTGGGTCCAGCGGAGTGAGGCACCGCGGGGACTTGAGCGGGACCTCGCCGTCCCTGGGTGGGCTGCGATCTGCGACGTTGTCGCCACTTTCGAGGGCTGCTGGTGGGTCCAGCGGAGTGAGGCACCGTGGGGACCTGAGCGGGACCTCGCCGTCCCTGGGGGTGGGCTGCGATCTGCGACGTTGTCGCCACTTTCGAGGGCTGCTGTTGGGTCCTGCGGGATGGGGCACCGCGGGGACTTGAGCGAGACCTCGCCGTCCCTGGGGTGGGCTGCGATCTGCGATATTGTCGCCACTTTCGAGGGCTGCTGGTGGGTCCTGCGGAGTGAGGCACCGCGGGGACCTGAGCGGGACCTCGCCGTCCCTGGGGGGAGCTGCGATCTGCAACATTGTCGCCACTTTGGATGGCTGCTGCTGGGTCCAGCGGGCTGAGGCACCGCGGGGACCTGAGCGAGACCTCGCCGTCCCTGGGGGGGCTGCGATCTGCGACAGTGTCGCCACTTTCGAGGGCTGCTGGTGGGTCCTGCGGAGTGAGGCACCGCGGGGACCTGAGCGAGACCTCGCCGTCCCTGGGGTGCTCCGGATGCGTTAGGCGCAACGGGCGCATGGCACAGCCAAGGGGGGTGATTTGTGAAACAGACCATCTGCCGGGCGATGGCCATAACGTTGTGCCTACACGTATCCCGCGGGGGCTCTCAAGAGCTGTTGCGGGATACGTTGGGTGCAACGGGCGCATGGCACAGCCAACGGGGGTGATTTGTTATTACGTAGCCCTTATATCTTGATCGGGGGCCTGCGAGCCTTCCGATTGCTGCTCGCAAAATCACATGCGTCCATGTTACGTCATCGCCCCCATTGTAGCAATCCTGATGTACTTATGCCCCGCATTGCGCAAGGGTTGGGGGACGTCGCCAGGGTAGTTTAGATCATTTTTGGTGTACGTGGCCAATCTGCAAGTGTCCTTCCCTGAATTTCTGCTGTCATTCTGAGTGCGTGCTTTCTCCAGATGATTCGCGACATCACCCCCCTTCCTCCTCTGGGTTCTCACGCACCTTCTTCCTCTGTCTGCTCGTTCCCATTTCCCTTGGCGCTCCCTCCCTCGTTTTGTTCTGCCTTACCCTGGGCGCTCCCTGTGTGTTCCCTGGGTGCTCTTATCCCATCTCTCTGGGCGCTCCCATCTCCCTGGGTGCTCCCTGTGGGCTCTTAGGAACCCTGGGCGCTTCCTCCTGTCTCCCTGGGCGTTCCCGGGGTGCTCTTCTCGTCTCTCTTCCTCGTTAGTGCTGCCTCGCCCCACAGAGGCGCTGGGAGCGACGCCGCCGTGCGTCTTCCAGAACGACTTCTCGATGCTGAACAGGTTGCGCGGCCGGCCAATCGGAGGAGCTTGATGTATGCACCACGTTGTTTGGTCGGTGTGTGCTTGCCCTGTTCAGTTTTACCGAGGGATCACGACACCGCCTGCGCCGCATCGAGAAGCTTCGATGGACAGGCACGCGCTGTCCCTAGCACACGCTCTGAGGATCCTCGATGGAAGCCTGGGTCGGTCCACTGGTCCGCTGGTCTGGCAGTCCCGGTGCCGGGGGCGCAGGTCCCCGATCTTGGGAGAGGGCGGGGCGCCTGGAGCCCGAGCGTCGGGCGGCATCGACGTCGTTCGATGCGTGTGTGCCCCAGGGCCGGTTGTTCGGCCTTGGACGCAACTCCCGGGTGAGGTCACACTGAGCATCGGCACTGGTGTATCCGTGGTCGAAAGCCTGCCCGATGCGGCACAAGGCCGCTGAATCCTATAGAATTCCGCTCGATCCTGCTCAATCCCGCTCAGCCCTGGGCTTCATCTGGGTTGATCCGGGTCAGTGGCACCTTCGCCCGTCTCATGCCCCTAATTGTTCCTGCGGAGACCTCACAGAAGCTGCCTCCTGATCCGGAGGCCAAGCATGGCAGCACGCCCTGGGGGGCGATAAGCGTGGGGGCAGCGAGGGCTGCAGAAAAGGGGCCCCCTGGGGCCCAACATGAGGTCGTGAGGGCCCGAGGAGTGCACCTGTCTTCCCCCCGCCATGTGCAAGAGACCCAAAAGAGGCATCAAGAGGCCCTCAAAGGGTCCACACGAGGCATCAAGAGGCCACCAGAGGGCTCCCAAGAGGCATCAAACTTGCCTCCAAGAGACCGAGAGGCCTCCCACGAGATCCCAACGAGCATCCAAGAGGCTTCATGTTGCATCGCTCCCCCATCCAACAAGCCGGTGGCTTCGTTTTCTTGCACCTGCACGTGGCCGCTGCCCTCTCTTGTTCTTGGCGACCTTGGCCTCGCCCTGTCGGCCCCGGGGTGTGCCCGCGCGAGGGCGCGCGAGGAGGAGGGGCGCCCTGCCGACGAGGTAATTAGCTCAGTCGCAGGAGCCAGCCGACGTGCGGTTGGGGGGGGGGAGGTAGGCCCGTCGGGCCGCGAGGAGTGGCAGCACAGGGGAAGGGGGGGGGGGGGGGCGAAGCCTGCTGCATGCAGCTGGTCTCCGCCCCGCCACCGGAGCCCATTCCTCGAGACGTGGGCGCCTCAACGGCGCCAGCCAGGAACACCGTCTGCACGAGCTGATCCTCTGCCCTGCCCGTTGCTATGCTATCCTACCCGTTCGGCCCCCCCCCCCGAGAGAGGCGCAGGCCCGGCCCCGCGTCGCCCCTTTCATCGCCAGGGGCCCGACAGCTCTGCCCCGCACAGGAGCGCGGGCTTGCGCTGTCGGGGGCCCGACGCCGGCCGGATGCCCCCCCCCCCCTGGACGTTGCCGCTCACACCCGGACTCCCGTCGTCCCCCATCGTACTCGAGGCCTGCATCCCTCGGGGGTGGACAGAACCCCCCACAGTGACACGTCGATTAGCGAGTTGTCCGTTCTCGGTTCTCGAGAGGGCGCCGCGGCCGTCATTTTCCAGGGTTGCCCCCGCCAGGTTTGGGCCTCAGGTCGTTTTCACTAAACCACGGTTTACTAAAGGGGGGTCTGTCCATCCCTGCATCCCAGAGGCACTGTCGAGCACCCGGAGAAGTATTCGAAACGGTGTCTGCCCGCCGCCAGCGAAGTGTCGGCCGAACGAGTATCGCCTCCCAGGGCTGGACACGTGAAACCCTCCAGCTTCGAGACTCCTTTGATGCTCGAAATCCTTTCTGATGATCAAGGCTGAAGTAGGTGGGAAATTCTCAAAACCCAGACGCTCTCGCGGCTTGGAGAACAGAGAGAAGACGGCGGACGGCGGACAGTTGTTTCGCATTCTTCCAGCCCGCACAGTGTTCTTTGCCAGGCGCTGGTCTGGGGGAGGGGGTCGAGACCACTGCTGAGCCCACGAGATGGACAAAGATCACGGCGTCGGAGTCCTATGTCTGCCCGGCCGGTGCGAGTCGCAGGAACCGACGTTTGGTTGCTTTGGAGCCTACTGGGGTCCGAGGTGACCCACCACTACTTCCAGCGAGCAGAAACGGGGGCGAGGTTCGAGGTCCTGGGATCGAGGAGTTTTTTGCTTGTTTCTGACACAGGGGGCCGTTTTCGGGCCCCGGGACAGTCAAATACTGATTCAGGGTGAAAAGCTGGACCAACCTGGGAGGGGTCCAGGGACCGATCTTGAGCGGATTCGCTTTGTTCCCCTTGTTGGTCTTTGGCTTCAGCCAGTTCGACCCCCTGGTCGCTTCCAATGGTCGCTGTACTAGGGACGCGTCGAGCGGCTACAGTCACACATTTACCTGTAGCATGAGCCTTCGTTGCAAGGAACCTTTTCAGTTCTCAGATTTGGACGCACCTGCCATCTTCTCTATTTCCTCGGTGCAGGAGTGCCCTAGGCTAGGCTTTGCATGTTCTAGGCGCCGTGTATCCTGACGGCAGATTTGCCCCGCGTCGACGGGGCGGCGTCTCCGGCGCCGGCGTTCCTGGTTCAATGTCGCCAGTGGCCCAGACTTGGCAAGCATCGCACGATCTGCACAGAGGTAGGGCTAGGGCCCCGACCGCTCACAGCGCTCCGCGCGGCGTCGGGAGCTGACGCCGATGTCGCCGCGACGCGAACCCGCCGCACACGCCGTTCTCGTCACCGTGCTCGCTCCTGGTCGCCCTGCAGCAGACCTGCTCGCACGCGGAAGCCTGGCGGACGGCCCGCAGCGCGGGCGGACCTGCCCCCCTTGCACGGACCCTGCCGGCGCACGGCCCGCCGCGCTCGTCGGCGACCCTGCCGTGATGGATCTGTGGCGGGGTCTGCGAGCCCGGGGCTCCTCGCGTCGCGACGAATTACAGCAGCGGGGGTCGGGGGGCCCTCGGCCCAGGGGGCGTCCTGCCCCTGACGAACGATCAGCACGCACCCATACCCATTGGGGGAGCAGAATGAGCTATGGGTGCGTGTTGTCGGATGGGGGTCCCCGCTCGAACGGGAGCCTCCGCAGGGTTCCGACAACCCGCACCCGTACCCATAGCCAGTCCTTATCCTTTCGACCTCCTTATAGGTATGTGTGTGTTGTTCGTTCGTCAGCCCCAGGTATGAGGTCCAGGCCTCTGGGAGCGCGCGCTGTGACGGAGGTCGCAGCATCGGGGGTCCGTCTCGCGAGATCTGCGAGCCGCGAGGTGTGCGAGGCAGGTTCGCGCCGCGCCGCCGTGGGGGCGACCCCAGCACGGGCGCTCGAGGCTGAGCGCCTCCAGAGGCTCGCAATTGGCCAGATTCGATCGGTCTGCGCTGTCGGTCAGTTGAGCGTTCGTAGCGGTGTCAGAATCCGACGCCCAGGTCACGGCGACGTGAACCCGCCGTGCAAGAGCGCGGTCGATCGGCGCTCGCGTACCAACCAGGGGGCCACGATGTGTCACCGAGGTGTTGCGCACATGTCGTGGGATCTGGGAAGAAGCACGATGACTATAGCCAAGATGTCGCGGGATGCTGTCGACGCCGGTCCTGGTCAGGGACCCTGTCGGCCGTCGCCGCTTCGCGAGGATGATCCACGAATCGACGATGACCAAGATGGGCGATGGCCAAGATCGACACCGACGGTTCCGCGGTCAGTCTTGCTCGTGGTCCTCGTGACTTTCCCCCCCCACATCGTGGTTTGAATGCGACTGGGTCCTCCTCGTGGTCGTCGTGTCAGAAACACTTGGTGGTCTTGGTCGGGGTCGTGGTCGTCGTGGCACAAACACAAAATGTCCCCCTCGGAATCGTCAGTTTTGGTCGTGGTCCTCGTTGCGCAAACACTCTTTGGATGCGACTGCACACGATTTGTAGTCTATGAAGCCGTGCTCTCGTGCGGCCTGCGGAGGCCGAGGCCTGGGGGGGGGCCACTGCCCACAGGGCCTGCTGCTCCCATGCCGAGCGGATCTGAGCAGAACAGGCCAGGGAGGCCCGGACACGCTGTTCAGGCACAGCGTTCGGGCGTTGCGTGAGGGGGGGTGGGCGAGGAATGGGCGGGGGTGACGAGAGTGTAACGGTGTACCCTGGTGTGCCCTGACAGGCTCCCTGGGGCCAGAAAGGGGCACGCTGGGTGCACGCCTCTCCCCCCCCAGCATGTATCGCCCCCTCCCCATCAAACGACGTCGAAAGCAGGAGGGGGCAGGGGGGGCACGGCTCAGGTGGATGCGTCGATCTGGAATCGGCGATGCATCGTCAACTCCAGGTCAATGCTACCACCCTGAGCCGCTCCCCGCCTTTCGTGGTTCCTTCCTGTGTGAAAAAAAGCATCTTCCCAGGCACCTCCACGTGGAAGAGACGCAGTTTGGGCTGCGCCGGTTTAGCCTGCTGAAGACAACTAAACACAAGTGGCATTCATCTCAATCTCAGCGGTTGGTCCAGCAAATAATCCTCCTCCATCCTCGTCCCGCGCATTACCAGTAACCTCGCGCACGCGCTTGCACACTTGTTCGAGGTAGGGCGCCGCAAGCCCACACTCCGCGGCGTACGCAGTGCCCGAGCCCCCATACGCGCAATGCCGAAGAGCCCGATCCGACGAGCCTCCTCCTCCTCCTCCTCCTCCTCCTCCTCCTCCTCCTCCCGGCCTCCTGTGCTGCTCGTGCTTCTCCACCTCCCGCCCAGGCGGTGCGAGGAGAACGGGCTCTTCGAGATGGCGTCGCCCTACAACGAGAACGTCGGCTTCATGGCCTACAACGCGCCGGGCTCGGCTGGTGGCTAGCGGGCGCGGCCCGCGCGGACCCCCTGGGCCTCCATGGGCCACCCGTGGGCATGGCCCGCTGCGGGCCGCTCCCGCTCTCTGCCCCTCCGCCGCGCGGCCAGCGGCAGCTCGGCCTCGGCGGGTCTGGCGTGGCGCGGCCGCGGCGGCTCCAAGGGCGGGCCCTGTTGCTCCCCCTGCCGCCTCTCTCCGAGGAGAGTGTTTTTGTTACCCTCGGGGCCAGAACGCGCGTTTCGGGCCCCCCTCCCATGAACGTCACGCTCCCGCCCCCGCTCCCCCCCCTGGTGTGCCCCCGGGGCTGCCGCAGTGTGGCGCCGTGGTGGCAGAATCACACGGAGGGGGGTTTGCGTTATGTTATGCCCCCCCCAGAACGCTCGTCTTCGCTGTGAATTGAAGAATACTCTCGAGGATACGCGCCCAGACCCCTTCGAGTAGTGAAACGGAAACTGCGGGACGTTTTCGGACCTTTTGCGGAGGAGGAGGAGGAGGAGGAGGAGGAGGAGGTGGTGGAGGAGGACACGGCGGGACGTTTTCGACCCTTTTCGGCCTCCAGGAGTATCTGCCGGGCCCCGGGGATGTCAAGGAGCAGCTCAGCGGGAGACCGGTCCCAGGGAGAGGGGCCGAGGCCTCCGGAAGCCCACGTTTCGACAAAATCACGACTTCGGCGGTCTGGGCATCTCCTCCTCTTCCTCCTTCTCGTCCTCCTCCTCCTCCTCCTCCTCCTCCTCCTCCTCCTCCGGTGCGCTTCTTGCCCTTGCCCTTGCCCTCGTTGCTCGCAGGTGGCCATTGCCCTGCAGGCACGCGTGTAGCCGCTGGGCTCGCAGGCTGTGTCCAGAGGCGTCGCGCAGTGCCGGGGATTCCTGTTTTCCTGCTCTTCGGTGGCCGCGCGGCAGGGCGGCCCGGCCACACGAAGATGGGCCGTGGCCAGTGGCACCGCCAGCATACGTCGACCACCACCCAGTGCAGCGTTTCGTGGCTCCGTAGAGAGCTCCACACAGTAAGACCCCAGCGGCACCGCCCGCATGCGTTTCCCCAACCAGCACAGCGTTTCGTGGCCTCATCGGGAGAGCGCCCACGTGGCGCCCACGGGCGGCAACGTGGCGAAACCTCGGCAGACCCGCCCAGCAGGCGCACGGGGCGCCAACGAGGCGCCCACGGGCGGCAACGTGCTGAAACCCCCGTCGAAGTCTCGGCGGGCCCCCCCGGTGCACGGGGCGCTCACGAGGCGCCCACGGGCGGCGACGTGGCGCAACGTCGGCAGACCCAACCAGCGCACGGGGGCTCCAACCTGGGCGGACCCACCCAGCGCACGGGGCGCCCACGAGGCGCGCCCACGGGCGGCGGCGTGGCGAGACCTCGGCGGACCCACCCAGCGCACGGGGCGGCAACGGGGCGGCAGCGTGGCGAAATCCTGGGGGACCCGCCCGGCGCATAGAACGCCCACGGGAGGGCCACGGGCGGCAAGGCGGCAAAGCCTCGGCAGGTGCACCCAGGGCACGGGGCGCTCACGGGGCGCCCAGGGGCGGCAACGTGGCGAAGCCTCGGCGGACCCGCCCCATTTCTTGGAGGCGGAAGTGATACCCCCAAGCGCACGCACGGTTTTGTAGCTTCACCAGAGGGTTCACCCTGATATCCTTCGTCAGCAAGGAATCCTTAGTGCAGGAATATTTCTTGCAGAGTCTTTATGGACAGGCTCCTTTCTAGAGAGAGTCCTCTCTCAAGGAATCCTCCTTAAAGACTGGCAGGTATTTTCACAGAGTAATCCTTGCTAGAGTTTCCCTTCCTGAGTCAGTCGTACATGTCGAGCCCTCAGTACACGATACCTTGTTAAAAGGGGTCGTTACCAAATGAATCCTCCGGAAGGAATCATTATCGAGTGAATGGTCGTTGCTTGATTCTACGGGCTTACGCCACATCGGCCGACCCCTTGTTTTTACTACCTGGGCGGTTGGGAGCATTTGGGGCGCAACCTTTTACCTGAGGTAAAGGCTTGCCTGGAGGCCGGTGTTGGAGGTCGGCCTGCTCAGAGAAGGAGGAGGTGTAGGGGGAGCAGGATAGGCGGTGGAGGAGGAGTGGGAGTGCGAGAGATGCGGCGAAGCCGCTCCTTGTTACGATCTACTCCAAGAGGGCCTGGCCAGAGAGGCCCCCAGAGTCAGGAACGGCGCTCTCGCCCGAGACTTCCTCGCAATTCAAAGAAGCTGCTGGGGGCCCTACTGCAACAAGAAGGGCTCCCGCTTCATGCGTCCTCACGAAATATTCAGAGCCACCCTGGCCAGAGAGGCCACCGGCCAGGCGGCCAGGGCTGCTTCAAATTCTGGGTGCCAGTGGCGATGCACGGGATGCGGCGAGCCCGCTCCGTGGAGGCCTGTTGTTGCTCCGCCCGGAAGGGTCGTTCCAAATCACGTGTACGCATAGTTGGGGGGTGCCGTTGTACTATGACTGCTAACACCACTACTTCTACTACTACTACTACTACCACCACCACCACCACCACCACCACCACTACTACTACTACTACTACTACTACTACTACTACTACTACTACGACTACTACTCTTACTACTACTACTACTACCACTACTACTACTACTACTACTACTACTACTACTACTACTACTACTACTACTACTACTACTACTACTAAAAAAACTATTACTACTACTTCTACTACTATTACCACTACCACTACCACTACTACTGACTACTATTACTACTACTACTACTACTACTACTACTACTGCTCTTGCTACTACTACTACCACCACTACTTCTACTATTACTACCACTACTGCGACTACTACTACTACGACTACTACTACTACTACTACGACTACTACTACTACTATTACTACTACTACTACTACTACTGTTGCGCTTGCTACTACTACTACTACTACTACTACTACTACTACGACAACAACTACAACAGGAACTACTACTACCAATGGTACTACTACGGCTACTACTACCACTACTACTACTACTACTACTACTACTACTACTTTTACTACTACTACTACTACTATGACTACTACTACTACTACTACTACTACTACTACTGCGAATGGTATTACGATTAGTCTTCGTACTACTACGACTAGTACGACGACGACGATTACTATTACTACTACTACTACTACTACTACTGCTGCTGCTACCACCACTACTACTACTACTACTACTACTACTACTACTACTCCTACTCGCACTACCACTACTCGAGCATAACTACTATTAGTACAACTACTATGGCTTCCATTACTTTCACTACTGGTCTTAGTACCCCTACTACTGCCACTACTGCTCTCAGTACGAACATCATAAGCAATCTGACGATTACTATGACGAATACTAGTACTAGCACTACTGCTACCACTACTGCTGCAACAACAACAACCACTACTACTACTACTACTGCGGCTACTACCCGTAGTACTAGTATTAGCATTACTGAACGACGCCTACTACAATTAGTACGGCAAGTCGTAGTATTACGACGAATACCAGTATTGCTACTATCGCGACGACCACTACTATTACTACTACGACCAGTAGTACTATTCATATTATTATCATTACTTCGAGTACGATTACTACTGCAAGTGCTACTTTTCCTATTACTACCACTATACTTGTACTACTACGACTACTATTACTATTACTACTACTACTACTTCTATTATTATCACTTCTACTGTCCACGTGCTACTAAACCGCTGCGATTACTGCTGCTTCTATTATATTCACTGCCGCAGCATTATCACTAGCACTATTATTTCTACTACGCCTACGACTTACTATGGCTACTGCTATTATCACCAATGCTACAACCC